GTTGAGTGCCAGATATTTCCCAGGCATTGGACACCTGGCCCCTCAACTACAACCTAATTTTATAGAGCAGCCTTTGCCCCATGTCCCTTTGGGCAGCACAGTGGCCCAGTGGTTAGCATGGCAAACCCAGGTTCAATTCCACCCTTGGGCAATTGTCAGCGTGGAGAATGAACATTCTCCCCATGTCTTTGTGGGTTTCTTCCAGGTGCTATGATTTCCTCCCACAGTCCAAAGATGTGCAGATTAGGTGGATTGGCCATGATAAATTGCCCATAGCATCCAGGGATGAGCAGTGTAGGTGAGTTAGCCATGGGAAATGCAGGGTTAAAGGGATAGGATAGGTGATGGGATGCTCTCCCATGTGTCAGTGTGGCCTCAATATACAAATGACCTGTTTCCTCACTGTAGAGATGCTACAGTTCTACGATACTTTTGGATGACAAAAACCCACCAATCTAAGATTTAAAGCTTGCAATTAATCTACCCAGTTGCCGTTAGTGGAAGAAACTTAAAAACTTACTCCATGTAAAGTCTCACATTAGTGGTAGGAAACTATTTCAGAAAATTCTGAAGGAAAGAATTAATATCTACTTTTAGGGATAGTCAACATGGCTTTGTCAGAGGAGGTCATGCCTAACGAATTAGAATTTTTCAAAAATGTGATCAAGTGTGTGAATGAGGGAATTTCAGTTGAAGTAGGATTTGAGAAAAAAAACTTTCAATTAGAGGGTAGTGGGAATCTGGAATACAGTGCCTGGCAAGTAGTGGAGGCTGGAAACCTTTCAACCTTTAAAAAATATTTGGATGAGCACTTTAAATATCATAACATTCAAGGGTATAAGAAAAATGAGAAGGTGAATCTCAAGTTTTTTAATGCTATGTTCCCTGGTCCTGGACTCCCAACCAACAAAAAGATTGTTTTTCTATCTACCCTGTCAGTTACTCATATCTTGAAAACATAAGGCTGGAATCTAATGAGAATGTTGAATAGATTTTGTAGATTAAGCAGCAGTTTCACAATGATTGGAGCTGAGGGAATTCACCATGCTCAGCCAATTACTTTAATCATTGCAAGTTGAATTATCAGTAATAAGGTGGCAGCTTCTGCAACATTCTGCCCCCATCAGTGATTTGTATGTTGTGCCAAATTCCAGTGTATCAACACTAAGAGGATTACTGCAGTATCACCCGACTAACCTTTCCGTGATATTAAAGATGCAGTGGGAGACAGAAATAAGTGCAGGCATTTAATGAAACCCGTAACCTGACTTCTCACTTAGAAAACTTTATAGAACAACCCTTTAACTGTCACCTGACAGACAAATAGCTGCACTGATTAGATCATGGGCATGATTAAATAATTAATTAACTGATTTTTAACGATTCATTTTTGGAATGTGAACTTTGGTGACAAGGCAAACATCTATTGCCCATCTCAAACACACATCTTAGAATAACTGCAGTCTGAAATAAAGATGCTCCCACTGCATTGTTAGAAAGTTACATAATATTTACAGTGCTGAAACTAGGTTGGAATTGTAACAGTTTAACTCTGCTCAGAATGTTGCTCTGTAACTTTAGAGATGAGCTCAGAGTCAAACACAGTTACACGTAAGACAAGCCAGTTAAGAACACCACCTCTCTTCCTTTACAAATAAATTAACCAGTATGTGACTTGTGGTCATCTGACAGCTTTGTAAGCACTTTTGCTAATATCAGTTTTACTACTCCAGTTGCATAACTATGCTGAATGGACTCTCTAACTTCAGATAATGTTGATCTTGCTAATATTGACCTTGCTTTGCAAAACAAAGCTTTTTACTGGACTTAGGTGTGTGTGACTACAGTAATTCAAATAAAATCAAATCAAATCAGCAATAATCAGAAGAGGAAGAAGGTGAAATAACAGCGGTGTCGATGATAAATCTCCAAGTCTAAATGGACAGTTGGCCACAGATTGTGAGATGGTTTGTGATTAGATCAAAAGCTTGGTCAAACAGAGGATTTTCAAGAAGCAGAATATTTTAGTGTATTATAGAACATGGACTTTAGGCAGCTGAAGGCTATGTTTGTAACACCAGCAAAACAGTATTTATTCCCATCTCTGTTCACCCTGAGGGCAGTAATACTTAACCATGTAGCTCGGACTGGATTTGAGTAGATGCAGACCCCAGGTAGGGGCAGCAGACAGTTTACCCTAAAACAAAACAGTGAACCTGTTGGGTGTTTTAACTGTTTGTGACTTTCTTTTTTTTTATCTGGTGCCAGTCAATAAATTGCTAGATTTAGCTGATAGTTAAACTGACTGTGCATCATGAAGTAGGATGTTGTGGTGCATCTCTAAAAATGCAACTCTGTTAAAATATCTTTGAGACACCCAAATGGCTCTCTTCCACTTTAGGAAATCTCCTGCAGACCCACCATCTGGAACACAATCTTTAGACTTTTTTTCTATGTCTCAGCCCACATTGTTGTTAAGTATGCTGTTAAAATGAAGCATCATATGCCAGCCAATGTAGTATTTTATTTTTGTGGCTTTCAGTATAACTCCATAAAAGTCTAATAAAAGAATTAAGACTGCTTTATTGAGGAGTGAAGGGCAGTGTCTGGGTGCTCAAATGTTTGAATTATATTAAGCCATGTACAGGTGATGTATCTAATTTTTAATTTTGTGTGCTGACATGCTAATTTTCTTGACCAATTTTGAATCCTGTTCTTGCCCTTTTTTGAAGCTGTTGACTCCTCATTTGAACACTATTGATCTCAATCCTTTAATTCATCTCGGTGGCCACTTACCATACATCAGTCTGGCAGGGTAAAATGTTGAATTTTTGAAGAATGTTTCATAACCATTTGGCATTCAAAATATATTTTGCAGCCAGTGAAGTAATTTTTGATGTGTATTTGCTATTGTAATGTCAGAATTGCAGCAGCTAATGTGTGCACATCCATGTCCCACAATCAGCAATAGATGACAGCCAGATAAAACGTTGGCCAGGGCAATTGGGAGAACTCTCTCACTCCTTTTTCAATAGTTTCATGGGACCCTTTACCTCCATTTGATGGCAAAGATGATTTAACATCGCATCAGAAAGACATCCAACTCCAGTCCACCCTTAACTGGCATCTATATCAATCACTTCCACCACTGAGAGTTTAAATCTCACCAGGTTAAGTTGTGAAATTGAATTCAGTAAATCTAGTCATTTACAGGCTAGTGCAAGGAAAAATGGCAGCTATAAGAACACTGTAAAAACTTAACTAGTTTACTAATGCCCTTCAAAGAAGGGAACCTGCTTTCCACTCCAAATCTAGCTGCATGTAATTCTACATTTACACTGTTTACAATTCTGATACATTAGCTCCTGTTTGCTGAGATGTAGCTTTTGTGGTGCATCAGCATTAGGCCTGAAGTCAATCGTAAACACTACTACCTCAATTGTTGCAGAGAAATTTGAGCTCACCATCAGCCTGCAAAAAACAGTGACAATGAATCAAGGTCGTCAGCTCAAAGCAGCAGTACAACTAAGTAACACTGTAGTGAGCAATTTTGATAAATTCTGCTACCCGAGGTCAGCAGTCTCAACTGAACTGAAATTTGCTGAGGAGATATCAGCTCATGTTGGTAGTATTTGAGAAGCTTCAGGCAAACTTCCATAGAAACCCCAGACTTCCACTTGCTATACAAGAATCTGTGATGTCTGAGTACTAAGTAGATGCCTGCATGGTGGTGAAGCTTGAGCCACATATCAAAGCAGAAATACAGAATTAATTCATTTCATGTACTGTTGCTTGAGAAAGATCCTTGGAATCCATTGGCATCATACAGTCCCCAAAACTCTATGGGAATTTGGCAGCTATCTGATGAAGAAATTATCATAGCAATTTTGAGGCAGCATCAGCTAGGGAAGCTGTATCATATCATTACAACAGATGGCCGTTGCTTACCAAATCATGTACTATCAATGGAGAGATTGATAGTGCTAGAAGACCTGTTGGATATGCAAATCTAAAATACAAGGATTCATGCAAGCGAGACATCATTTCATGCAGGATTGACTTCAACAATTTGGAACAGTCTGCACGTGATCAGTGCGCTCGCCAACGAAGTCCCTGTATTGGAGCACGGACATTTGAAGAATTACATCTTCAGTTGTCCCAGAAGAGCAGTCACACAAAGGAGCATGTAGTATTGACAATTGACAATCTACAATGGCTGCAACTGTCAAAGCCTTGTTTAGATTAGACTATATTCCTACTTGATGACTCAATGAACTGTTAATGTACATGACATGCAATGAAATGAAGTCAACAAAAACTGCTGTGTGGCCAACTTTTAGCTGCTAAATTGTAGAAACAGTCACTCAAGAATAAAGACAATAGCTGTCACCAAATGTAACCTTGCCAGTACCACCAGCATACCACTTCCAATAAAGGCCACATCCAGTGTCGTTTATTCGATGGTGACACCCTTCTTCAACTCAGCACACATATAGTCTGTTTTGGCATCCATTCTGCCTGAGAGGAGTTGATTGATGCAAAACAGGAATCAAAGGCATGGCCATCACATCTGCTGGCTTAATACGACATCACGTTGTCCTTTGGAGTAACTGATGTATATTAATTTGTAGTAATTATCCCCAATAAAGAAATATGACCAATTAATCTGTTTTTGGTAATACTTGTTGAAGGATAAATGTTGACTAGGAGAACTCTTTTGTTTTGGAGTATCTTCTATGTCCATTTGGACAAGGAAATGAGATCTCAAACACAACATCTTATTTAGAAGACCTATAGGAGACCATCACTGCCTCAGCCCTGAAATAAAATATTAATCTAAACAGTGTACGAAAGACTTGCAAAGGGACTTAAACAATGATTTCCTGATTCAGAGATAACCAAGCTAGCAAGTAATGGTTTCACATGGCTTTCACTAAACTGTATTAAGAGAGTTTTCATAGTCCACAATTAAACTAAATGTCGACCTTTATCTTCCACAGATTACAGAATACCTGAATGCTCAGGAGGCTGCCAAATCTGCTCGGGTAAGAGTAATACAAAGTGAGAATGATGCTGCACGCATTTCTCCGTCATCCCCTCCACCACCACCATTATGCGTTTGCTCTCTTTCCCCTCCCTCTCCAATCCTACTTTCTTTCATCAGTAAATTCCTTGCTGATCCCTCCCTCTCTCTGACATTCCCATATCATATCTTGCTTTTTGTAGTGTTTTCTCTCTTTCATCCTATCTCCCGCTGTTCCCTTCCTCTTTTGCTGTCCCTCTTCATTCTGCCTTGCTGTGCCCATCCCACCTTCTTTGTAGTGGTTCCTCTCTCTGTCCCTTCTCATTTTGCATTTTCTTGTCTATTTGTGTCTGTCTTATTTCATGTCTCTCCCTATTTTCGTGGCATTTCTCACATCTGTTTTTGTCAGTTTTCCTTGCATCAAGCCGTCCATCCCATAGCTGTCTCCTCTCTCTCTCTCTCATCTGTTCTTCTCCTCAAGATCTTAATGGTAAGCCAGAACTCAGATACTTGTCCTGTTTGACTTGTCTGTACTCATTGCTAGACTGACACTGTTGTCTCTCCTTTTCAGTTGAACCTCTGGCGTTATGGTGATTTCCGAGCTGATGATGCTGACGAATTTGGGTACAGACGCTAAAGAATCAGACATGATGACGGCGACACACCAACTTCCCTTCTGTCCCTCCTCTCTTACTGCCCTCCCTGTCTACAACAAGAGAGACTTCTGGTACTTCTTTCTCGGTTTCCTCCCTTCAGGCTTTCGGAGTCTCATTGCACTCGTCCTCTGCACCTTCAGATGAGCAGTTGGCAGTGCCAGGGGCTGAGATACTAATCATGATTGGACTATGATGTTAATTTGTGAAATGAACTGGAAATGAGTCGCCTGCTTTAAACTGAAATTCTTTTATTTCACCTATTCCTTCTGAAATGCAGAATAAATCAGCACACTTGGTGATTTTTTTTTCCATTCATGTTGGCTTTGAAAAATATATTCTTTGATTTAAAAAAAAATTAGTTCATAATCACGCAAGACAGGAACCAAGCTGATCTCGAATGAGATCCAGTTATTCAAAAAGGCTGCTGACAATATAGTCACACCTGACTGACGGGTAATTAAAGCAAGCCTGTTTGAGGGAAAACGCAGGAGCAGATGTTCCAGGTTGGGACAGATGGAATCTTAAAGGGAAATTGCCAGTGAGACTTACAAATGTTTCCAAGTTTCAGAACCCTGCATATTGCATCACTTTTTTGATGTTTTTTTTTCCTGTTATGCGCTAACAAATTCCTCTATATAACTCGGTGTTGAGTCCATTTTTAGAAGCAGGTTTAGAATTTTCTTGATCATGGGCCTCCCCATCACCAGAACCGCCATAGAAGTTGGTTAACCAGAACAGAACAGAACGGGAAGTGGAGATACCTGAGTTAATCTTTATAAATGTCTTAATTATATATTAGCCAAACCGCTAAGTGTTGAAGTCATTTGTCTGCTCAAGCTTGGACCACATACAGATCTAATACAAAGTACCGATGGGGTACTTTGAGGGTTCGTGCACAGTCTGCTTAGCAGTCAGTAGCTTATCTTGAGGAAAACGTGGGTACAGATAGCTGATGCAGAGGAATCTATATTAGGAAGCTATGTGCCTCTCTCTTTCTCTCTTTATTTTTCTTGTGACTTGATTGCAAGTGATCTTTTTCCTTTGTAATTCTGTAACAAACAGTTCATGATTTTTTTTTCCCCACACACCCCTCCCCCCACCCCATTCCCTTTCCTCATCTGATGTTGTCTCTTGTCATTATATTTAATGCTTACAGTCTCAATAAAAGTAGCATTGGCAACACAAAATCCCCTTGGTCATTCTTGTGTCATTATTTACTGCTGCTCTAACACTGGTTTGTTAAGTGCTGGGATGGTCAAGGAATAGCACTGAACCCAAGACTTCACTCCCACCCTGGAGATGTATGAAATACAGATAGCTTTCCCAACTTCAACATGTTTCCTGCCAAACAGATAATTACTTTTGCCCTGTGAGCATGGCTGACTAAGATAAACTGTGAATGTGTTATCCAAAAGGGTCTACCTTCCCCAGACACTGATGCAGCTTGGGTTTAAGATGATGTAGAAAAGCAAGTGAAACAATTTGTACTTCTTAAATTGGCCACAGGATGATTGCAAGGCAATATACAACTTACCGCCATTTTAGTCATTGATGTAGAAGATATTTAAAATGTTGAGACAGCTGGTAAGTGTAATGGTTAGTGATTTGAGATTCAATGTCTACATTCATTACTGTTACATAAAGTTGTTGGT